CCTCAGCTTTTCTTTTTAAATCAAACCTTTTCTTTTTAAATTCCCATTGCATTTCCCTTAAACGCTCAATATATTTTCCTCTCTCTCTCTCTTCATCTCAGTGAATTGTATCTTGTTGAAGAAACTCTGAACCTGAATTAGTTTTTGATCTGTGATTAAAGGAAGAAATTGTAATTGTTTGTGGTGTTGTTTGAGATTCAAATGGCTGGGATTTGTTGTGGTGTTGTTGGAGAGACTGAACCATCGGCACCGGTTGATTCGACTTCTCGAGCTTCTCTTAGACGGAGGTTAGATCTACTCCCGTCGATCAAAATCGTRGCTCCTCCGCTTGAGAGCTGCCGTAAACGTCAGAAACGCGAGACACCACCGTCGTCTCTGCTTTCGACGTTACCGGCTAACGGAAATCTAGATCTGGAATCGAATGGTCGGAAATCAGAGAAGGCCGGATCGGCGGTTACGGTTAAGAATTCAAATCCAGCGACGGAAACAGAGAGCTGTTTCTTCTCCGATGTGCCTAAAATCGGAACGACGTCGGTTTGTGGCAGGAGGAGAGACATGGAAGACGCCGTTTCGATTCATCCGTCATTTCATCAACGAAACTCCGAGAATCTTCATTTCTACGGCGTTTTTGACGGCCATGGCTGCTCTCATGTAAGTCTCATCTCTTTAATTTCCTCTGCCTTTTTCATGTATTGTGGATTTGTACTTATCAGCGCTTTTTTGTTGTTGTTAGGTTGCGGAGAAGTGTAGAGAACGATTGCATGAGATAGTGAAGCAAGAAACTGAAGTTATGGCCGGAGATGAGTGGAAGGAGACGATGGTTAAGAGTTTTCAAAAAATGGACAAAGAAGTTAGCCAACGAGACTGCAACTTACCTGTTAACGGTGCAACTCGGAGCATGAAAAACTCCTGCAGATGCGAATTGCAGTCACCTCAGTGCGACGCCGTCGGATCCACCGCCGTGGTATCCGTCGTCACACCGGAAAAGATCATCGTCTCAAACTGCGGCGACTCTCGCGCCGTGCTTTGCCGTAACGGTGTAGCCATACCTCTCTCTTCAGATCACAAGGTAATTTAGAAGAAACCTTACTAAAAATAAAATCCATTTAGATCGCATGTTGCTAAAAGTGTATTTTGTTGTTTTGTAACAGCCGGATCGACCCGATGAATTGAATCGGATCCAGCAAGCGGGTGGGCGGGTTATCTATTGGGATGGAGCTAGGGTTCTTGGAGTTCTTGCTATGTCCAGAGCAATTGGTGATAATTACTTGAAACCATATGTGATTCCGGATCCGGAGGTAACCGTTACGGATCGAACGGACAAAGACGAGTGTTTGATTTTGGCGAGTGATGGACTTTGGGACGTTGTACCGAACGAGACGGCGTGTGGCGTGGCTCGCATGTGCCTCAAAGGTGCTGCGGCTGCGGACGGAGGAGATTCGGACACGGCGCATAACGCGTGCTCCGACGCGGCGTTGCTTTTAACGAAGTTGGCGCTAGCGAGACAGAGCTCCGATAACGTGAGCGTCGTGGTGGTGGACCTGAGGAAGAGGAGGATTCATAATAATGAGAAGTCATAATTAGTGCTTTTGATTAGTAGAAGTATTAGATAAATTGTTACATAACTAATTGTAATTTTTCTTATTTTTTTTTCATTTTCTACGTTAGGTTTTGTCTCTCATTTAAGGTGTTTTTTTAAAATTAGTTCTTAATTCAGGCTGGGGAAGAAAATGAGCTGATTTAAAAGAAGTTTTAAGTATTTTCTTCTTTTATCTTTACCATACAGTATCTGACCCCAAAAAATAAAAATAAAAAAATCTTACCACACTACAAGAAAGAAGGTCTATAACGTCGGTTATACACTGTTAAGGGTATCTTAAAAGTTATATATGTACTTCGAATAGAAATGTAAACAGTGATGCTTAAATTAAGAGGAAGGTAAAACGGATAATTTTGATTTGCGCCATTTTATTACCGCCTGGTTATTTCTATCCGGTTCGAATTGGTTAAGTGCGGTAGTCGTTGTTGATTTAGTCTAAACCGATTTGGTACGAATCTTAACCTTTCTCGAGCTTTTTTTTTTTAATTATATTTCTTGGTATAGGAGGACACTGGCGTGCGTCATTTTAGCACATCTGATTTTGTTTCTGTAATTAAACATAGATGGATAATATATTCTCATACAAACGTAAATGAATCAAATTAATTGGTACGTTTCAAGGATCTTTAAGTAATGTTAATTCTCGAGTTTTGATTTTTTCTTTCTCTAAATTAACATTTTTAGATAATTTGGTGGAAGAGGCTCAGATGGAGTGAGTATATATATAAAATTAGTGATTCCATAATTGTTTCTAAACTAATGCAAGATAATTAAGATGAGAATTGTCTGTCCAACATTGTCGAATGCTTAGTGTCAGTTAAGGTCGGAATCAAACATTAATAATATGGATTTGGATTAATTGACTAAAAAAAATATCAACTAGGGAGAGACGAAAGAAAGGAAAAGGATCTTCACATTCATTTTTTTTATTTAGTTATATACAGTGTGATATATCAACTTGAACAAGATATATATTATAATCAATTTTGAACCGTCCATTAATTGCCACTTGCCAGTTGCCACAATGACCAAATAATCAAATCTTCTTCTATTCAATCAATCATCATCATGTTGTATAAACCATTTACAAATAATGTTTAAATTTTTGTTAGGTATATTATTAATCATACGTTGGGGTCCTGCTTATTGTTGTCTAGGGCGATGAATGTGTGTTCGTATTCAATTAGTTGTAAAATGCTGATTAATTGACTAACTATTTTTTTTCTTTGATTTCATAAAATCACCATTGTGTGTTAGTTTCAGGTGTTTAGATATACAAAACAAAGAACCACACTAAAACGATACATTCACAATCAAGATTCGACAGTATTTTTTCTGTCAACTGATTTCACCGTATTAGTTTTACAAATATAATTATAACCAGATAGAAATATATCTACTATTAAGTATGAGTTGACCACAAAGTTATAGCTGATTTATAAAATCAAAATGTAATGCAAAAGAATTATACTTAACTGACTAGATGAATGTCATGGGTCAGAGGTATATGGTTTTAGGGGAATACAATGATAACCAAATATTTATGCAATATATCTACCATTAACTAGTAGAAGTTGATCACGAAGTGTTAAATTTGATTCATAGTCAAAGTATACTGTAGAAATGGCATACTTGACTGAGTAGAAAAATGTCACATGTCGGTGGTATCGGGTTTAAAACATATTAACCCTAATTGCTAAACCCTAAGGGATTGAAATGTAAAGCAGCGAACCAAACTTGGGGGTGTTTATCTATAATTCACATTTGGTCCAAGTTTGGAGATTTCACCATCAAAAGATAAGGCACATCCAAAAATTATTTGATTGCAGTAGCATAATGTTATATATATATCTGCTCAATGATGGATTTTTGTAGCTGTTGCCTGTTGGGTTCGTGGAAAGAGTGAGAGGGCAAAACAATAAAGAGTTGGGGATTGAGAGGGACTCAACACAAGTGGGATCTAAGATAAGATTATGCCTACTTGTGACAATCAAAGAATGACATGTGTCTATTTGGTCTATGTGAGATTTGGTTTCGAAGATTTGATGTTGACCTATCTTTCTCAATTATTCTTTTCCCTTTTTTCTCTCTATATCATAATGTTGTCTCATTTTGTCTCTTATTATATCTTAAACTCTTGTCCTAATTAGGTTCCTACTTTATAGTGTTGAATAAGGCTAAATGACACATCGCGAGTTCCTTGTGTTTCATTAAAAATGTTAACAATGACTTTGGTGTATAAATAGTGAAAGCCTATTTTTGCTAACAACGAATATTATACGTTTTTGTTACTTTTTTCATACATTTATTCGTTGCTACTTGCTAGTATATTTTTAACTTATATATTGTTGTTACACTTGTTCGGGAGCATATGTAGCAACTTGTTCAGCCTTTTGACGATAATATACCACAAAACGCATAAGTCATTGTTAATACTTTTAAGTTTTAACCAACTATATTCTATAGATGATTTTAGCTATCTAACGATGCAAATATAGTAAAAGTGTAAAACTCACAAGTAAATTGTTCGGTTAAATTGTTAACACTTTTAACCAACTATAGTCGTCCATCGATGATAAATATCGAGTCTCATCTCACTGTGTTTTAATGTTGCTTAATATAAACGTTTTAATAGGTACTTATTTAGAAAATTTTTCTACATTTATCTCATAATTTACTCTGTTATACATATGTTAGTGACAAAACTGATTTTCGAATTATTTGAGGATTGAGGTGCATGCGATATTAGACAAGAAGCATAGGCTGCAAAACCGATTATCGATTCTTTCTTTTTAAATGTTACTCTTATGTTATGTATACAGTTAATAAACCGGCGAGCAATTTTTGTTTTTACGATATTTCATTCGAATCGAGAAACAAATTTTATAAAAAATTTTATTTTTCTATTGGAATAAATAATGCATGTGGAATGTATGCGTAGAGATAAATAAACAAAGTATTTTTCTTACAACTTAGGTGACTTTGAATATTTTTCAGCTCTCATAGAAAGACTTGAACCTTGGTTTAAGCCGAAGAAGTGGGTTGATGACCTCATGGATATTACTAGACCACCATATTGTTTTCCAGAGATTAAATATCTCTGATACTTAAATAATCTTTTCAG